TCTATTTCACCTGTGCATTTTTCAAAATAGCCTTCTTATTCAGTTGCATACATTATCCCAACAATGTCAATACTAGCTGCCAATAGAGAAAAATAACTGTTTTGTTCTTAGAAATTTTATGTGATTGATTTTATCTTTTTAAAAGATGTTCCTAGAATTATGAGCTCTTATCAACTCTTATCAAGCTTTTGCCAAAATGCTGCTGCTTATCAGTTAATAGATAGTTGAAAAAGATTCCTTACAGTTCCATGGCCAGTTTGTAATTAAGTTTGTATCACCAAGGGAAAGAAATTGATTTAAATAGTCCATTCTTAAAAGAAAAATGGTACCAAAGTGTTGTCAAGAGTGACAGAAAAAAATTGAACACTGCTGTATTGAGATTATATTCATCTTGTCAATTTAAGCCTAGAAAAGGAACTGGTAAAAAGACTCAACATTGTAATATTCATGTGACAGACACACATCATGTGTGAAAGAAAATCTACTTCCACTTTTAAAGTGATAACTGGCCAGGACTTGGTGCTTATCAGTTGATATCAGTAAATAAAACCTGCTATGAATTTAATTCCTTTAAATTATTTGAATGGCCTCTGAATGTTTGCTAGTTTGTTTTCTATTACATTTAATGAGTCAGCACTTTGCAAATACTGGTATGACATTCATTTATGATTTAAGAATATACCCTAAAGTCCAGATATATCTACATGGGGACAGTTTACATCTGTATATTTTTCACAAACGGGAGATACAACAAAGTGAAATCCAAACCCATTAGAAGATTCTCTGAAAATAAAAGGAACTACAGATATGAAAAAAAAAGATATCTGATCAGTTTAATGGCAATGAAATTCATATATTTGTATGGAGAGAATATAGAGGTATTAGTTACGACCCACTGGGAATGATTTCCAAGAAAAACCGGATCAGATGCATCCAGTTTAATGGGCTTTGCGAATTATTGCTTGAAGATCAAAATAACACTTAGCTTTGTCTGCTGGTTATAGTAATGGCTCAAAAATATATTAATAGCAAGCATATACAATATTCATCGATAAAATTGAAGTGAAAGCCAGCATTTCAACATGTCATTGAATTATTCACATCAGTACAAATGTTTGTTGTTAGACAAGGATGGTTGGATAAATGTGCATCATAGTGTATCATTGTTTTTTTTTCTTTTCTTTATTTTTATTGCATACCACGTATGTTACCAAGAATTATCATCATACATTACTTGAGAACCATCATAACTTTTGATGAGTTAAAATAGTATATTTGGGTTTATTTCTAGCATCTGGTGAAGTAAAAAAAAATTTGATTATTGAAATTTAATGTCATTTGATATATTCCTTCAGACAGGAAAACTGCCTGTCTGACAGGTCATGACCCCTTGTTATGCCAGAGGACCTGCAACATTTTTGATATCGCAGGTTCTCAGAATTGGCAAATTTCAAGCGAAAATACAATATGTAAAAATAAATTACACGAAATACAGACATACAATAAAACACTTAGTTCAGACCAGCACAGAATTATGAGGACCTGCACATGTCCTCTTAGTGGACATTCAATATCTCAAAACTTTTTCCAATGCCTTTTTCCTATTGTAGTTTTACTATAAAGAAAATTGAAAGCTATTATTTTGGCACATGAAAAAGAATGGCTATCTCCTTGAAAGCATTTGCCATCTAATAAACATATGAAAAGTTTACAGTATCACATAGAAAGAATTGTTTTAGAATTTTCAAATATGCCCATGAAATATAAATATCTTGGGCTTCATTTTAGCTGATGAATTAATATAATACAATACAATATAAAAAAGTATAGATAGTGTTTTTTCCTTGAATGAATCATATTTAGGCCTCTTCCTTTAGTATAAGACTTGTTTTTTCAATCATTTAAAGATCTGCAGCACAGCATGCCTTACCTAATTCTTTTATCCATCTCTAATTTGTAGATAGTTCTCTGATTTCTAGTGCATCAAACACATTGAAACCATTGCAGGATAATAATTGCTGGTAAATATCAATAATCAGAGGGAAGAATAATACATTGATCCTGATGCTGAAGTCTTTCTCAATAATTATTACTGTGTGGATGTCAGGTAATATATAATTAGGTGTCAATAGTATATATAGGGTGCAGTACTGGATAAGAATGGTTGGGATATATATATATATACACACACACATACACATTCATACAGGACTATAGCTCTGATATTTTGCTAGATCTTTCATCTCAATGGGAATCATCCAAGATAATAAAAAAAAGTGAGATCTCGTTTTATTTGGAAGAGAGTGGTGTCAGAAATAATGTCAAGCTAGTGATCCAGTGTGATATGGCAGCAAAGAAAAACTGACGGAGCTATACATAGATATTTTCTGGTCTTTAGTCCTGTAGAATTACAGTACATATTCACCATGTTTTGCATGTGCTTTTGTATTTCTTTCTAAGACATCATTTCTGGTGTATAGAGTTTCGCCATTATTGCTGAAAGGTTAACACCACATCACACAGAATCTCACGCATTTTCTAGTCTCGTATGATGCCGCACAATGCTGACAGCCTCGTTTTAGGCTAAAACAGATTATTTCCATCAGAATTCTTACTGGGTAATTTCAAATTATTTGAAAATCTTGAATACTTTTGGGATTTGGGCAATGGTAAGCAAAATGATGGTGGCTGAGACAAAATTGTTTTTTCAGCCAGAAGGGTTCTTTGATGATATGGTGCTCATAATTTGATATCTAAGGCAACCCATTTGCTTTCCAATTATCTAAGTTTGATTCAGCATGATTCAGTTTTATGTCTAATTTTGTGCTTGACTACCCTATGGTATTAAGATGGTGAGTTCTCCATTCCACAGCAGGTTCACTTAATGAAAAGTATAGCTGCGATGTCTAGCTGGGATGAGTAAGTTTTTATCCATAGGCTTGAGTATAAGGCCCCATTCCCATAGACATGGGTCTACGTAGATCGTTCCAACTCTGCAGGGACTCTCACTGCGTGCAATCAGCTTAACTGACAGCTCTATATGCTTAATTGCCAGTCCATTCTTAAGCTATTCTGTAATTTTGAAAAAGATATTCAGTTATCTTACTCTAACAGTAGAAAGCATATTTTTCTCAGAAAAAGGAGGAACATTTTTTTTAATTAATAGCATCAGATCAAATAAAAAGATATCTGCAGGCAATAAACTGTCATCACTGGTTGATATTAGTGTGGCTTGAAATCCATGACGTAGCTGAGTGTGTGGAGGAACAATCTGATTGGCTGAATGTGCAATCTTTCCACCCACATAGTGGCGTAGTAGATTGTATCTGTCTTAAGCAACGGGAATCAGGTGACCTGTGCCAAGAAGGTGCAGAGGAGAGTTTCCTGGAGGGCTGGGGTTACTGAGACAAGTGACACGTCTCATCACTGTTCCATCACTGGAGGCTATTTTAAGAAGCCATGTTACATGTTGAATTGAGTATTTCCCTCATGCTCCCTTATATGTGATTGACAAGTGATTCCCCCAGTGATGATCTTTAAAACAGGCAGTGATGATAGATGTAGCTTGCACTTCACCCTGCAATCTGGGTGCAGCATTGCTGGTTCTTAGCCCCTGTTAGCTGTCATTTTCATTGGTGTCAGTAGCACATTCCTTGGCCATTATAGCATAAGGAAAAACCAACTGGTGTACAGCAGTCACAGATGGGGAAGTCTGGTAATATTAGAGAGAAACAGGTGGGCAATGGGAAACCTGTGTTCCCATTTTTGCTGACTGGGAAACATTTGAACTGGTTTGAAAAATAAACATTTTACCAGGTTGAGGTCTATTGTTTCTGGTAAAAACATAAATAATAGACCATCAGTATTCCTGACATGCAGTTTGTTTAATCTGTTTCAACTGGGATGTAAATAATAGTAGTAGTAAGTGCGTAGGTGGAAATTCATTTTGCAAGAGGCAGCACTGAAGTTCGCTCAGTGTTTTATATCACTCTATAGGTAGTACATGTGCTTCTATATTCAATTATTTAGGCGCTGGGGTATTTTCTCTCCTGTTCAAATCTCATCTGATGTTATTAGGAGAGTTGTATAATGAGTTCTACCTGGAGCCTTATCCTAAGAGGGTGACCATGTGGAGGGACTGAGTAGAAGCACACAGGAAGTGGTTTTATTAGCCAGTGCCAGCTCACGGCACATTGCTGCTATACTCACTGGGACTGGTATTGATTGGAGCAGAAGATTTAAAAGCAGATTGTGGCCAGAGAGCCAGGCCATTTAGTTTCATCACCTGGACATTTGAGCATGTGGTGGGATAAGATGGTAATAGACGGGTGTGAAGTATTCACTGGACAATGACAAGATCATGGGATAATTTTTCATATGACCCTGAATGATAAGGTCACTGGAGCGTTCAATAACAGTAATAATAAGGCTGTATTTATACAGCAACAGGTGATGATAAAAGTGCCAGACAGTATTTCTTTGGTGAAATTACTTTACAACAAGCACAAGCAGCAGTTCCTGCACCAAGATGAATATTTTCAGGCCGAAGCGCTCGCGTTCCCGTTCTCCAACTGGGGTACCCTCTATATCTCTATCTCGCCAGGACAGTTTTGATGCAGATGATGACCCTTCTGTTGGAGTCACCACCCTCAAAGTCCCTGAGCTTCATTGTAGAGAGAAAAGATCTGCTAGTTTTGATGCTGCTGGTGTTCTCTCGGATGTAATAGACAATTTACTAAGTTTTTCCAAAAATAAGAAACAAAGGTCAAGATCATTTGATTCTAGTCTTACAACATGTAATAGTTATCCCAGCACAGGTCCATCTTCTGAAGAAGAGAGCCCGACAACAGGGCCAACTCTTAGGGTCCCACAGGGTCTGATACGCAGAGGCTCCTTGGAAATTCCACGATTTTGTGTACATTGTGTGCACTTGGAGTCAATAAGTAGCCCTGAAGATAGTGCCGCAAGCTCTGTGTCATTTGAACTGTCTTATTCTTCAGACAGTTCCTCAGGTACAGGCAACAGCTCATCCAGTGATGAGGATTCCGAAAAGGAAACTTTTCCACACACAAATGGTCTCCCTGTGCCAGAGGGAGATACCAATGTCATGAACACAGAGGATGATAATGGAAAAGATTTTTTAACAGTTGTCAGTTTGGAAGTTCCTGTTCTAAAAACTCACCGATCAGTTTCTGTGGATACTGGTACTGCTAAAGGAAAAACAGGCTACAGTCCTACTAGCTCCCCCAAAGAGGGGCGGAGGGCCTCCTTTGATGTATCATACCTGAAAAAATCCAATTCTTTGAGTCCAACTGGCTCAAACGAGTCCCTTAAAGATGTCAGTGCAGAGGGGAAAAGGATGGCTTTCAGGTAGGTGGATCACTACAATATGTATTTATTTTATTATGACATTAATGAGCTTTTAATTTTATAGAAATCTGTTTGATTGCATGGAAAATTTAGAAAAAAATTGTTATTATCACTTTTTTGTGAGTATGCCATACACATATAAGACAGTATGCAGCAGCACTTTGAGTGAGCTAGATGCCCAATATCTTGCTGTGTTTCCTCAATCTCTGACTCTTGTATATGCCTGCATAGAATTCCTTGTTTATTGGCAATCAGTAGGGGAGCATGCAGCTGATTAATAGACTTCATTAGAGCAGGGGTCAACTTATGTCTCTGTGTATTTTTGATACCTAAATTTAAATGAGGTGTTGAAAGAAGAGCAGACAGATAGTTATTCTGAGCTGTTAAAGAGCCACATTTACCTGCTGGAGGTATGTAGATTGTTGGATACAGGGGCTTCTGTGCCTCAGAGTTAGGAGGCAGTTATAAATGCCAGGTGGGCCAGGTGGGCTTTTTCGTCTGCTTTTATAAACTTTACTACTGCATTTATATCCACCAGTTTGCCTGTCTTTATAGCCTATCCCCCAGCAACTGTATGCCATTGCTATTAAATGCTGAGTGTGTTTACACATTTTAGATGTGTAAAGGCAGCAGGTATATAAAATCTGCTTTTTCAAGTATGTGCACTATTTCTTATTGAATTTTAGGGTCATTTGATAAGTCAAATGTAAATCATTCAGATAGGCGTGGACATTAAAGCATGTGCATGCCCAGTACATAGATGCACAAGCACATGTCTGTTTATTTACCCAAAATATACCTAATGATATTAGATTTCACTATATGTGATACTAAGATAATTGAATATGCTTATCTGTCTTTGCTTGATGTTATTTTAATCTCATATTCATGATTAGATGAAAGAAAAAAGGAGCCTTGTCTGTAACTTAAAATAGCATGTTCTACTGTTTTCATGCTGTGAAAAAAGAGAAAGCAATTAGAGACATTCACAGGAAGCAATTTCAGTCTCAATTATGTAGTATTTTAGTCACAAAGTTGTGCTTTTTTAGATTTTAGAAAGCTTATATGCATCTGCTCTTTTGTGTATTGTTTGTCTTGAAGTGTTGTTAAGGTGATCTTGGAAACTTTGAAATTTGATTTCTTTTTATTTTGAAAAAAAAAGGTAATGCCATCTGAAAGCAAATCAATATTTGTGAGTCATGCCTCTGCATCTATCATTATTTTAGCATTTTATATGTAAATGGCGTAAATCTTTCATGGGTACCATAGCTGGTAAAGTATGTGGTATTTAAAATCTCACATCACGGTGTTCCTTGTCTTATGCTACTGCTTTTTAATTTTTGAATTACCTAACTTCATTTTTATGGAAAAGGCAAAATTCTGTAAGTTGGAGGAACGATGACAGTATGATATGTCAAAATACTTGTCATTTTTATTAGTAAGTGGAAAAAGACTTGTTTTACTTATGCTCCAATGGACATTTGTGCTGAGCAGATTGCAGCAGTTATTTTCTTTGGAAATTGGATGAACAGCTGTTGTCATATCTTTTGTCCTCCAATTGCAGGGAATTCATGTGTTGTTTTATATAGTAGTCCAATATTGCAGCATTTGTGCAATTGTGGCATTGTACATGAATCTTTAATCATGTTTTTAGAAGCTCATCCTTCAGAAAATGTTCTTAAACTTTGTTAAATGTTTTTTGTCATTAATTTATAGCAGCCTTTTATGTCATTAAAAACCTTACAGTTATTGCTGTGAATGTTACAGAATATATGTATTGAAATATTTGATTTTATATCTATTTCAAATAAATATAACTATTTCTAAAAAGCATGTATATAGAAGAATTTCTGAGCACTGAGAAAAAAAAATAGATTACATAATTATAAACAGTGGTCAGGATGCCAACAAGTGAAAGGAATGGCATCACACTAATTAACCAATGTGTGTGTGTGTGTGTGTGTGTGTGTGTGTGTGTGTGTGTGTGTGTGTGTGTGTGTGTGTGTGTGTGTGTGTGTGTGTGTGTGAGAGAGAGAGAGCATATAGCTTCAAGAGTCAACCCCCCAGACAGTGTTTAAGTTTATGACTAATAGTACCAGGAAAAGTACTGTAAACTAATGTACAGGTGGAATTATGATAAAAAATGGTCATGCATCAATTTAACCCATTACTAATGCTGCGTTTTCCTCAATTATAAATACATGAAATATAACACGCAAACAGAAAATTAACATATGTTCATATTTAATGTGTGTGTGGTCAAGCTGGATATTGGTTTAGTATGGCCATTAATAACTTAATTATGTCTGCTATAAATAACCAAAAGGTTAAGAACATCTCAAGAATGGTTAATGTAAACAAATTTCCACAACACTAGATATGCAGTCCGTGGCATTGAGAAATCTAGGCAACTGCAGAGTATTCATGTACACATATATTTTTTGATGTCCACAGAGATAATAAGAAATGAAACTGATAGACAGTTATAGACCTTGCAAAAATGATAATAATGATGCTGATGATGATGGTAATAATAATTATTATTAGTACTTAATTGATTGCTAAAAGTTTTCATTTACAGGCTCTCCATACTGCAACAGAATAAAAAACAGTTTTTATAGACATTAGGTTTAATTATTATATATACCTATGATATGTGGAAATAGTTGAAGTGACTGTGTAATATCTTTTGTGACACACTGGCCAAACTTAAAAGCCATCCTACAAAGTTTAGCCTATTGATAGCATTAATAATAGCAGCCGCCATGAAAATAAAACAAGACAGGCAGTAAGAGAACTTATGCTACATTATCTGATTTGTATGAAAGTAATAAAATTGTGGTGATGGACCTGAAAGAAATATTGCACACCCTTACTTCCCCTTTTATAGACTTTCTGAGACATAAATGTCAAATGTTTTTCATTATTTTCTGTGTGCTGTCAAATTGTCATTTTACTTTTGTTCTAATAATCATTTTTTTGTCATTAGTGTCTCATATTATCAATTAGATTTTGGCCTAACTGGATTTTGGATGAAAGTTATTGATAGGCAAGGGAATTTGATCAATTTCTTTCAGGGATATGTCATTAATACAGATGTATAGATTAATGAAATTGCTGTCCAAAGCAAAGAGGGAAAATTCAATTGCAGTATCACTGTTTATTAAATTTGGTCAAATGAAAAACTGGAACTTTTTATGTTAACGTTTTTTTCCCAGTTGACCTTTTGTTCATGAAAGGGGAGAACATTTGTAAATAAATGATCATTTCAATTGGTCATCAACTAAGATGAACATGAAATAAATGAGAAGGAAATGGACACCAGATATAAACCGTGCCAAAAGTTTGTTTAACATTTTAAACGTTTATTTATTTATTTGGTTTTTATCAGACATCTATTAATAGTAACCATGTTACTAAATATAACTCTGTTGAATTGACGTAGTCTCATAGTATTACTTATATGAGTCAGAACTCCTGCACTTGCCGAACAGACAAAAACCTGTTTTTAATTTTTGGCTAGATGGCACAACAAAAGTCATCCTGTTTTTGTACTAGATGGTTATACATCTGCTGTACTTTAACTTGAATTTGGCCCACCTGATGGAAGGTTTTGTCTGTGTTTGCTTTTCATGATTTCCACTTTTCATTGATTCTAAGAGTGCGTGTCCTCTGCTAAAAGCTTGGTGCTTTTTCCTGAAATGTGTCAGTCTAAAGCACTTAGTCACACCTATAATTCCCTTGTACAAAACTAAGATGTTTATGCATCAATCAAATTCACAACTTTTATTCTCCACTTAGCTTGTTGTCAGACTACATCACGCAATGTTATTAAAACACACCCTATACATTATTACCCATTAAGTTGAATATTAGGTTTACACAATGTTGAATGAATGAATGAATGAGTCTATGACTTGCTACATGCATGCATGAATGTCTAGAATGCCTTGGTGATGCAGAATATAGTTAATAGATCATGCAGCAACGATTTTGTACTGAAGTGAATGTTTTCAAAAGCATACAAACTTAATATGTTGCATTAATTTTTTCCTCCAATTATATTATCTAGGAAAGCTATTGCAAGGGGTGGTTATGGAAGCCATTACTTGCATCCATCCCATGCAGAAAATGGTTACCACAAATACGAACCCAGGAGCACTGTTGATTGGACAGTAAGTATCTGCTGCGAAGGAGAAGGGGGGGGCTTTCATAATTTGACCCAAAGGTACACTATCTGCTAATAGTCTTAAAAACCTCAGACACCTCAACACTGTAGACCTGTAGAGTTTACGGCCTGTAAAGGGGTACCTGGATGTAATAGCTAGAACTAAAACTGACTTAGAATACTAGTAGTAATTTTCTGGTTACCGACTCTGTGCATCATTGATACATACTCTCAATTTTTCAATCTCTGTTTCATTTCCCCCGGAAGTCATGATAAATGTAAGATGGAGGCATTTTGAAACCATAACATAGTGTTCACAACCCTGAATATGATACCATGTAGGGCTGTTTATTCCATTTCAGAGTGATGGATAATGATAACCCTATATGCTGGCATTCCTGCTTACTGATGATCAAGGAGACCATTTTTGCCAATTAATTTGAATTACTGCAGGCAACCTTAATTGAAAATTTGTGACACAAAGTGATTGTCTGATAAAAAATTTAACAGTTTGGCTGTTTACTTCCAGGAAAATGCCATTAAAGGTGACCACCTGTGGATTGAAACCAATGCCTCTGGGGATTACTGCTACATAGGAGAGGCCGAGTGTCAGGTAAAAAATGGGAATGTCGTATTCTTATGCTTATTTTTCTCTGAATACCCTGTAGAAATCCTGCTCTCAGAATATTGTTGAGATGCTAATCCAGTGGCAAGATTTAGATGAAACGGGGAAACCCACTTGTTGAAATCAATGAGAAAGGTTAATAGAAGTAAATATAAATTGTGGATATTCTTTATGAATTCTGATCATATCTGTCGATTGTAAATGATGATTTGATACCAACTTTACATAATTTGATCCTCAAATCACTTTGTTAAAAAGAACATTCCATCTTAGTTCTCCATATATCACTACATCATACACTAGCATCCTTTTGTAAACTATGTGGTTAATTATACAAGCAGCAGGGAACTCTTGATAGCTTTTTCACCTGTACCAATATCTTTACGCTGTCATTGATACAGTGAATTAGTCCAATAAATGCCTATATTTCAACGCACTGTGGTATTGTAAGTCTTGTGTGGCTTTAGAGTCATTATATCCATCCTGTCACATATGCAGGTTAGAAGGGGGGTGCATGCATGGATGAACATACATGTGGTATGGTTTCATGACTGATAGATTTTCCAGACATCATATTTCAGAAATGTATACATTAGTTTCTTTTTCTTCATATGGACAGACATACGTTGGTACCAACTTTATGACCTTCTGTAGCCATGCACTCTTCTAAAACCAAATAAATGGCAAAGCATGTCTCTTATCTTTGGTTAAAATTCAGGAACGATTTATAGCACAAAAATATATCTCAAGTTAGAGAAAATCGGCTGGATTGGATCATTTTCTAGCACTCATGCCTATATTTATGAATATTTTGTTATAACATTGATTCCAATCTTAGTATAGCTACAGTTTTCAACCCCATGGCCTTTTTTCTTCTTTAATGTCCATAAAAATGAATTGTCATGTTTTTTATTGTTTAAATGTGAAGATGGTCACATCAAAATGTTTTTATTTTAAGTGGGACATTGAGAAAGGACACAAGCCTGCTTCATTTGAATTAAGATAATTTGAAGGACCAGATACAGATACCAGTACCCCAGTATGAGATAATTGATGTGCCAGTATAAAATGCCAAACAAATAAAGTGATACTGATCAGCTTTATATGTATTAAGAAGATGACAAATTCTGTGATATATGGCATCACTACTTATCTGCTACTCATAGCTTCATTATTCCAGGTGTACTAGTGGGTATGAAATACTAAAAATATATGTTAAATCTGTAATACAGTGCAAAATTTTGCATGACAATAATTGAGACCAAATATATATATGGCTACCATGCATTTGTTACATAAATGTGAATGAAACTGAAAGCAGTCTATTCCTCTGTGAATACTGTAAATTTCAAAATATATGAATTTCAGATTATCCATCTCTAGAAGTATGTCATTAATTGATTATGCTCTCCAAATTGAAAAGTACTTATTAATTCTCATGAGCAATGCCCTTAATCGAAGTATGTATGGTGCCATATTGGAATCTACATTGTATTTCGATAAGCTCAAGGTGTAGTGCTATACTTGATTTCCACTGTACTCCACTGTCTGAGTGAACAGGAAAAAATCACATTCCCAGGAACTGTAATTATCACCTGTGTTGTTACATATTACCTTTACAATAAAGCAAGCATAATGTGTTGGTCTTCAATAGCTAGAAAAGTGAAATTTAACTGCTCTCTCTCATTTGTGGTGCTTATTGGCTATGCTACCCCTCCCCCATCTGCTTTAACATAAAAGGTAATGAATAATTAAGTTAATATTTTTAAGTATTATTATTTGTATAATTAATGTTAATATATTTAGATAGTTAATTTTATTTTTTATGTATAAAATCCTCCCCCCCCCCACCCCCCCCCCCCACCCCCCCCCCCCC